GCCAATAGGGGTGATCGATGGTCCTGATCACGATTCTGACACTGATTTCTGACATCGACGCAATTTGGTGCAAGCGCAGAAGATCCCTGTATGAGTGTACATGCCGAGTTCAGTGGGAGAGATGTGGCTCGAAATTGGCAATAAATCGCACCGCGGCAGAAAGTAAGTGACATATTCGTTATTAGGGCACTGACTATCCTATACCGAGCGACGCTCAGCTACGATCTTGCTCAATGGTATGAGAAAATTGTATTAGTCTGATGAGACGACTCATGGGTATAACTTTCTACGATGTGCCTGTAAATGGTAAATATCCGAGTTTATTTCATGAACAGACATATATTGAAGCGAGAACAACGAAACAATAAAAATGGTAAAGTTCGCAGTGGAGGGGATTGAACCCTCAACGCCATGATCACTGTCCGCTGACAATCCTGCTTCCACTTGGCTATCCGATCGTTGTCGGTGCATACCGCTCCGATCGCTGAAAGTTGAAAGTGAAAGTTCCAAAGAGCCGATCACTCTTAATAATGTGCCGCAAGTAAAACCCCACTGACGACTATTTTCTCCCCGTTCCCAATAGTACCTTTATAAGGACCCTGCACTCAGCAACTAATCAAAGTTGCAAGTGGTTTGAAGCCCATACAGACTCGAAAACAATCGTTTCGACAGGCTTCTCTTCCATCTCTCTCTTGATAGTCCCAGAGGCAGAGGCGTTCAGGGAAGTGGATGTCGGTTTGGTTCTCCATGCACGTGTACAAAAAACCGTTATCAAAAACGCTCCACGTCCTGAACGACATCCTTGGCCAGTGGAAGGGCTGTGAGGCACATACCTACCTGTTATGTGTGCAATCGCCCACTGATCAACTGAGGCTGGCTCGGGTGAACGGTGGACGTGCAGGCTGTGAGTACGATTGGTGGATGTGTCACGGCAGCCAATCAGAGCGAGCCCTTGCACACATTACCACCAATTCGAATTGCGCTAGGGTATTTCCTTCAACGACCATTATGGTTGTTAATATCTACTGTTTAGGTACACGGTTGTGTCTGGCGAGTTCCTGAAGAATTCGCAGGAGAGCTGGACCTACAGGAGTCTGGATATCATCGCCTAATCGGTATGAACTAGAAACGAATGAGCTTTCTGTATTTCACTACACTCGGCGAACTTGCAGTCAGCTGCAAATGGCGATCAGACCAAGCAATGCAAGTGCCACGAATCGTTTCTTGGCATGTTTGACAGGGTTGTTCAGGGGGGACAATCGACAATCGCTACTCAGAGTGAACAAGTAGAGTTTGCAGCTTCGATGCTCGGCTGCCAGCGAAGCCGCTCAAATCCTCTGCACAGTTCGCCGAGTGTGAGGGTTACCTCATAGAATTTTATTGTTTCATTTTCAGTACCAGTAGAATGTGCTGATGCTTTGATAGAGTGCCGGACGTATCAGTATTCGAACACCAGGGCCTCTTTAGCACCGCCGTCACCCCACTACAAAACCGTGATCGTGGCGGGAGCCATCGAACATTCCCTGCCAGAATCATACGTGAAAAGTACAGCAATGTATAGTACTAGTCGCAAGAAAATGAAAAATTCCTCTCTTTTCAGGTCTAAAAGAGATGCCAGATAACGGGTACAAAGGACGGGTCGAAGTCGATGTTGACGTTATTAGACATTTGAATCAATAACAATCAATATTTGCTTCGTTACTTATTTGGTTGTGGTGCTTTTTCCGATAAACTCGAAGTTGCACAGTTATTTCGAAAAGCTGAGGCTGTTGGCAGCAGGGTACAGCACTGGGATGTGCGAAATGGCGGTATCAGTACACCCTCCCCCCTCTCGACAACGGTCCAGTTACGACCCCTACTTCCCGCTCTGCTGCTCGTGCGCGGGGACTGCCTTTAACCCATTGCGTACCGCGGCGTTTTCGCGAAAACGGGCGCCTGTGGCCGACGCCTTTTTGTCGACGCGACTCGTGGCGCGCCGAGTATAAACAAATAAGATTTTTATCACATACATATGACATAAAAATAATGCATCTACTTCGTATTATACATTACACTTGTATGCATGACTGTGATAAGTAAAACTGGATACCATTACGTGATAAACGTGATGGGCTAAAAACATGCGAAAATTGACAAAAAGGTTGATAAATTCAAAAGGGATTGGAAACAGGACGTAATATGTTTATAAATTGTTCAGCTTTACTATTTTGCGAATTTTTAGTGGAGTCACAGCCAGAATTTTGGCTTGACTGGTTACTAAGAAATAAACAAAGGATATAGTAGCTGAAGAATTTCCCGAAAAATTTCGATAACTCAGCTCTAGTTCGGTTCCGCAATTTCCCACACGTATATTTCTTTCCGGGAGACTTCACAAATATACTGACACTCTTGAGTCATCTAGTAATGCTAAATAAGTTCAAACGAAGCGTGCTGCACCATGTGTAGCACGCGGCCATACAGAGGCAAACGGGCGTGCTGCACATGGTGCAGCACGCGTACGCAATGGGTTAAGCAACGGTCTGGCAGCCTCACCGGCAGGGAACGCCATGCAGGATCATTCCCTGAAAAATACGACCTGTCGCGGTTCGCGACAACGTGTCCGGGGTCCCTTGGGCCTGGGCTCTGGCGCGCTACATGGTGGGGCCCCATACTCATGACGCGGAACACAGCATCAGCTAGGCATTAATTTCAGAAAATGATATAGAGTTGGAGATGGGGACACGGCACGTGAGGTGATAACAGCTGATAGGGGCTGATAAGGAATTGCCAATGCTGTTCAGTCAAATTGCTGGAGCCTTTACACTACCAAATTATAGAGTTTTAGTGATAGGGACATTGATGACGGGTGACAGGATCTTATCAATTGATAAGAAAGGATAAGGGGCCATTATCATTACCTCTCTTATCACTATACCCCAAGTATCAAAGGCTCAGTGTGCATACTTTTCCTTTAGCCATCACTTCCCTGATAGCCCTAGAAAATGAACTCATCCTACTATATAATGTCGATGTCGACGAGCGGGGGGGGGGTATGTAGTTCGCCTGAAACAGGAATCCCAGGGAAATTCGAGGAGAAAAGAAAAACATCAACGAGCGGATCGCATGCTAATTGAAAGGAAAGCGTTCGTCGGTAGGCATTCCGGTGCAGGTAATGGAAACGAAATCTGCTATTTCACTGAGCGATTCATATTGCGCTGTATTGGCCGACTACACATTGTATCTATCTACAGATTTATGTATTCTATGGGCGTCATGGCGCGGACTACACCGCTGTAAATAGAAGCGCGTGCTGAGTTGTGCGGGATCCTAAGCCTTGCTCTGTCTGTTACGATTCGATCACTACAGCGCCTTATGAGCAGCGCACTACCGAAAAAGTTCCGTTAAAATTATGGAGCCGCCTGGCGAAGCCAGGCCAGCTCGGCGAAGCCGAGCTCAAGAGAAGGAGGAGAGCACGGCGTCAGCCGTGCGATCCGACTGGTAGAGAGAAAATTTGCTAAGTCTGTCTGTTAGTGTGGGTGTGTGAAGAGGGGCTGGGACGGGAACACTATCAGCGGATGGGTAACAACTGTAGAACTGGTAAGGGAACTTTGAGGATGGTGGGGGGGGAGTGCCACTAAATCCGTACCGCGCCAAGTAGAACCATAGTTCTAGTGAGAGATGTAGGGGCAGGATGGAAACACTATTGGTGATCAGTAGGAAGAAAGGTTTTTCGAGGGATGACAACGGATAATAAGAGTGACAAGAGCTAGCAGGAAATCAGCAGGTGGAAGTGCGGGCTCTATCAGAGTTGAAACACCTCAATCCTCAATCTGATAATGCTATCTTCGGAAGGTTTTCGACCGCTGAACTGTTTGGAACTTCGGGAATGATGAATGTTTCTAGAGGTGTGATAAGAGCCGTCGTTGGCATCTGGTCATTATTAAGGGGAAAGGGGGAGAGATTGGTGGCATCCCAAGAATAGGGAAAGATACGAAAGCACAGGTACATTTGGAACAGCGCCAAGTTCACCCTGACTGTTCCCCAGTCGCAAAGCCTCACTGACAGTTTCTAACACGTCAGTAGGGGATTATCCAGTGTAGAGCACTCCGCTCCTCTCCCGCTCCTGGGGCCTGTAAGTCCTACTGCCTTGCATGTGCGTTAGACCATACACTACAATATTTCGGGTATCACGAGCAGCGAGTGACACCTTTTTGAACGTGTCATGATGGGAGTCTTTCCGACTCGGCTCGGTTGAGCAGCTGGTGAGCCACTTTCTGTTCCAAACCTGGGGACTCCCAACTTCAGGCTCATTGTGGCAATCGTTGGAGTAAGATAGCGGATCAGAACTTGGATGATCTCCACCCGAACAGAGACCGTTGTTCCCTTCCTTTCTGATCAAAACGTTATACGCTTCCATTGTTCACACCGGATGTGCCATTGCGGCGTGAGCTGTTCTCGAGCGCCACTGTCGAATGCGTGGCTCATTTCGAAAACAGATGATAGAAAACAAGTTTACTTTATTATAACACAACATTCCCATTCAGGTTTTTACGGTATACTTGATACTTGAATTCTCATCGAGAATTCTGAAAGCGCAGAATTTTCGGCGATATTCTTCCCTGTCTTCGAGGGGTACCTCGCGCCACTCCTTTTCCAATCTGAAACCAGGATGCTTTCATGACATGGTCGAATATCATGAGCGACAGAAACAAGAGAGAGTTGGCTTACGCTGGTTGCAATGCTGCAATATAACTATATGGAAGGGTTAAGACATTGAAAATCTGAAAAGGCATAAGTTGGATTGGCGAGATAACATCGAAGGGTTCTCGGGAAAACCCAAACATAAGAACAACCTGACCTTCTGTTAAAAAAATGGCCTTGCTATCGAGACTGTTTGCGCGATAACGGAGAAATTCCTCTCTCAAATGCTTGAAGCCGAGGCGCGACCATTGCTGTGCACATTTGCTGGGAGTATAACACTGAAAAACTGCTATTACAAGAAGCATTGATACATAACAGCGAAGACATGGAGGGTAAGATGTGAGTCCAGCAAGTATTTAGGCGAGGCAACGGCACGCTGCTCTCAACTTGCTGATGGGTTGGTCTCGTACCGGTTGAACTTGAGCATTACTCTTTAGCTCAGCAAAAGTTATGCCGAGGTAAGCCTTGACGAACTGCTCCAAAAGAGCCCCTGCAACATGAGAACTGCAGTTACACATGCGACTTGGCAACACTAAAACTAACTGTCGTCGTCATCGGTTCTCCCATTTCTTGCGTTTCTCGGCTGCTGCACTGTTGCTCCCCTCCTCCATTGTAGGGCAGGTCGCTCTGTGCAAAGCGGACCGCGGTGAGCAGTACTACCAGAACAAACATTTATTTATTTATTTATTATTTATTGCATGCACCATAGGCACATGAAGCAACATGGAACAACTGTAAAACCAACAAAAAGCTAACTGACAAATTTGACCTTGCAAAGTTCAGTACTCGTTGTATACAATAAAAGAAATTCAACATTCTTCAGTAGAAAGGACGAAATGATGCATACCATGGTTAAGCCCTTTTATACGGCTCGTAATCATTATTGTTATCAGAAAGAATCATTCATTCATTGGGTTGCGAAAGAGCTGACCGTGTATGATCATGCGAATAACGTGCTGCTTAGCACATCGACGACGAAATGCTGGTTCAATCCCTTTTGATTCCCAATCACCCTAGAAAGCACAGGTACTACATATTCAGGGTTCACTGCCCCGTTCTTCTAAAACAAGGCCAATTTTTTATCGACTTTTCCGCGATAGCAGGTTTAGCTGAAATGTTCTCCGGGGGTAGTTAAACTTCTTGAACACGACTGTCATATCCGCTTGACTCGATACCCCCTGGCGCCCGCATTGTAGGCAACAACACCACGTACCTAAAGTGTTTCCTGCGCACGAGGTGCAGAATTCAGGCGATTTCGTGCCGAACGACTGCGCTAGGGCAGTTGGAAAGATCTTGCGAGGCAACGCGGCATCATTTTTGGTTCTTCCCCTAGCTCAGGCTCAGCCTTGGCCGAGGAAGAGTCACTATCTGCAGACGACCGAGCAGACGGCGCGATGTACTCCTGCCCTTTCCTCCGTGCTTAACTCTTTTGCAACCCCATGCAAATGTGATACTCGTGATGAGAACTAACCCTGGGACAGGTTTTTGGCGAATCGGCGTGAGTGCGGTTTTGGGCTGGGCGAATGTGACATTCGTATTTACGAGCTTTAACTAGCCCTAGAGCCAGGTGTTCAACGGCATTTGCGGCCGGGTATTCTGACGCAGGTGCTACGCGGATTCGGGTCAAGTGAACATGATATTTGTGTTCAGAAGGTCCAAGTATCCCTGACACCGAATTTTCAGTCAATCTCGTGGAGAAAAACTTCGTCAAAAACAGGTCTGATTTGGGAAGACTGGGGCAGTAAAGGATATATAATGCTGATTGTTAATTCGAAAGTAAAGTTTCGGGGCACACCATTGTTCCGCTGTAAAAAAAAGCTAAGTCTGGTGGGAACCACAGCACACACCATGTCGTTGAGAAAGAGAGACAGGAGAGACAGGGCAAAAGAAGGGCGCGGCCGAGCTCGACGGACTGCTTCCTTCGATAGAGGTATGCCATCGATAAAACCATCCCCCATGCCCTCCCCTACCCCTAGGGGATCCTGTCTGAAAGATGGTATGCAAAAATCCAGTCAGCATAGCACAGCGCGGAGGTGTCAACACCTCTGAAGCGATAAGAGTCAGCTTTTGGTTCTTCACGATGCTTAGCCCTAATTGCAGCCAACAGAGCTCATGTATGAAAGAGCAGAGGCTCAGTGGGTGAATACGTTTTGATCCTTTCCGATAGCAACGAAATCAAGAGTTATTCAACCGCTAAGGAGCAATTTCGACAGCACTACATTTGATACCTTCATGTTGTTGCCAACCATCAGGCAAAGATTGGTTGCCTTGCTCCCAGACGCCTTCTGGTTTCGCGCCATGAAAGGCAAGGGTGGGTCAATTTTGAGGCACTTTCGAGAATCGTTTTTTTATCCGTAAAATGGTCGCTGAGAGACTAGTCTAGTTAGCCATCAAAAACAGCTAAGTCACTCGAGCAATGTCATTTTCGATACGAATGACCCCGAGCTGTGGTGGAGTAGGCAAACATTGCTCGGTTAAAGGATAGTTCGCCCTTCTGCAGTTGATTACAATAAGGTTCGCTGGTTACCACAGCGCTGAGAAGAATAAATTCCCTTCAACACGTTGACGACGAGCCAATTTCCCCATGACGTGCGCGTAGGACGGCACATCTTTGCTCGTTGAATTTCAGCTGTTCCCAATGAAATGAATGACTACGATCAAAGTGCATCAAAAAGTACAAGAGACGAACGAATCGCGAATCTTTGAAGCAGTTTGCTTATATTGCTCCATTGTTCCAAAATTAGGCTATCTCTTGCCAACTTCTTCCTCTGGTGGCAGATTTGAGTGGAAATTCGTTTCCGGGGTAGTTTGACCCCCTGAAGATCAATACCGTATTCCCTTTTCCTGGAAGAATTTGTTTCTAAACTGATTACATGAGAAGAAAATGGAACAATAGCGCAGATTCTGAGTTATACAATAACTGTAGGGCAGCATTGAGGGGACGCCGTCCCACAAGAGAAATTTGCTTCCACCATTGACGAACGCAGACCGTGATGGATAGACATTTTTTCACGGTCGAAGTACACCACGGAGAATATTCCAGAATAATTTTATTATTACCAGTCGCGATCGCCCGGCTTAACGCGAGCACTCCTTCCGTCTGATGTCCGCTTCGCCGGGCTCATGCAACTGCTTTAGAGTCGTGAACCACTGTCTTCTAATCAAATGAATGTAGAAACGCCCCATATGATCGCAGTGCTCTTTCATAACGAAAAGTTCAAAATCTGGTCATGGATAATCGATTACTCTCCTCCCCATCTTATGACAGCCAAGGATGATTCGGTCTCCGCAGTCGCTGCTGCTCCTGTTCAGGCGAGCGTCGGTCGCGCCAATATGGTACCCCTTCACCTCACCTATCCCCAAACTAACCTCAGCTATTCCCGCTCAGCCACCCTACAGGTCACACTCAGCTGCTACGCGAATAGCCCGTGCAATGGTCTGAGTGCCAACCTAAATGTGTTTTATGTTGTGGAGGGTGTTATGACTATCAAAACGCTACCACAATTTGATAATGCAACATTAATCGGTTTCAGTTCCGATTGCGGTCGATCCATTTTCTTCCATCTTATCGCAACCGTAGACGCCTTACCGCCGCAGGCGCTATGTGCTCCTAATCGCGAAATCGCCGTTCTCATCTGGTATCCCCTCACCACATCATATCCCACTGACCCTATTCAACTGGCGCTCACCCCCACGTTGGTATGCACCGCACTTGAGCAGCTGGATGCAACATAACACTACGCCGCACTGTTCTACCACCACCTTGCTCGTGCTCACGTCCAGCTCCAAGCGAGCAGCTCCTGCAAATAGCACAGAGTCTATCACAGTGGCTGGCTTAGATAGGGGAGCGATTCACAATCCAAACAGCTTCCTAGTTCGTTGCTGTAACATGGAGTAGCTTGCAGTTTTGCTAGCGGATCTTTCCTTCTGTCTTGCCGCCTGCTTCCAAGCGTACGCTACGCTTCCCTTACTGTACCCAGTTTGCCCCGTTTTAATCCGTATTCTCCTTCCCCTGCATGCTCAGATCCGACTGAGTACGCGCAAGGGAGTGAGGATGGGAGAAGGGGTCACTCGATACTAACTCCCACCTTCCTCACCTCACCCCATTCCGTACTCGCCACTCCACCCCCCTCACCTTGCCCCTTGCACGCGCTTACGTCCAACTGCCAACCCATGCATTTCCTCGAGTGTTGTGGTTTCATATAGTTTGCCGACAGCGTTACACAACCAAAACAACTTCTTACCAGGAAAGCAACAGTTCAGCCCCGCATATACAAATGAGATGCACATCATCATGTAACTCATCTTGACACGGTAAACTCGAAACTATCTTCAAAATTTGCAGGAACGATTCTCTGAGCGGAGTTATGGAGGTTTTTCTTTACTGTTTTTCTTCTTACGGGCGCGCTGGCGCCGAAGCGTTGGCACATGTAGCGCGACTCACAGCGCTCTTCGCGCAAAACAGATATCGTATCGTAAAATTAAGCGGCGTCAAATTAACCCCTAGAACTTCACCTTAGAGAATCCGAGCTTCTTGACTTCAACTTCGAAAAAATGGGTATGGATAGTCATGGATGACTGATAGATAGCCGACAGCGATACTAGGCTAGCCTACTGATGACGACTGGTCTTCGAGCTGAAATAACTCTTCAATCATGTCTTTTCGCGAACAACAGTACCTGGCTTACTTATTTGTGCCGTCTGCATCATTTTCTTGACTATCGGAGGAAATCC